CGGCATGCCAAAGCAGGACAGTAGAAAACAGTTTCCTAGGTGCATACATTTACACCACACCCAGGCTCCCTACTGCTTCTCTCAAGAGTATGGCCAGAGCTGGGCTCGGTGGCTCAGCCTGTAATCCTGCACTTTGGGAGGCTGAGGTGAGTGGATTGCCTGAGCCCGCGGGTTCGAGACCCGCCTGGGCAGCAAGACCTCATTTCTACAATAAATCAAAAAAATTAGCTGGGCGTTGTAGCGCATGCCTGTAATTCCGGCTACTTGGAAGGCTGAGGCGGAAAGATCGCCGGAGTCCAGCAGGTCGAGGCTGCGGTGGCCAGGAGCGGCCACTGCACTCCAGTCTGGGTGACAGAGTGAGACTCCAACTAAAAAAAAAAAAAAAAAAAAAAAAAGAGTATGGCCAGGCTGGGCTGCTCTTAGCTCTTCTTCCAAAGAACACCCGGCCTATTTTATGCAGCTGGCTTTACCTGGCACCTGCTGAGAAGATGGAGTGGACTAAATGAGGATAGGGGTGGGAGGCCTGCCAGAATAAAAGACACTAGCATTTCATGAAAGATAGCATTCACCAAGCCTTCCTGATAGCTTGGTTACTGTTTTACTAAATACCTTAAGAGAAGATTTTTTTTTTTTTTGAGTTGGAGTCTCACTCCGTCGCCCAGGCTGGAGTGCAGTGGCACGCTCCTGGCCACTGCAGCCTCGACCTGCTGGGCTCCGGCGATCCTTCCACCTCAGCCTTCCAAGTAGCTGGAAGTACAGGCCCGCGCAACCACGCCCAGCTAATTTTTGATTTATTGTAGAGATGAGGTCTCGCCAAGTTGCCCAGGTGGGACTCAAACCCGCAGGCTCAGGCAATCCACTCACCTCAGCCTCCCAAAGCGCTGGGATTACAGGCTGAACCACCGATCCCGGTTAAGAGAAGATTTGAGGGGCCTATAGAAGTGGTTCTTTTTTTAAAAAAGTATTCAACTGGCCAGGCGTGGTGGCTCAAACCTGTAATCCCAGTACTTTGGGAGGCTGAGGCAGGAGAACTGCTTGAGCCCTGGAGTTAGAGACCAGCCTGGGGTAACACAGCAAGACCTCGTCTCTACAAAAAAAATCAAAAAATTAGCTGGGCGTTGTAGTGTATGGCTGTAGTTCCAGCTACTTGGGAGGCTAAGGTGGGAGGATCCTCTGAGTCCGGGAGTTTGAGGCTGTGGTAAACTTTGAGCATGGCACTGCACTCCAGTCTGGGCGACAGAGTGAGACCTTGACTCAAAAAAACCCAAAAAAACAAATCAGAAAACAGAACCTGTGTACACAGACTCAAAGCAGCTGAGAGTGTCTGGCCTAAGGCTGAGGAAAGAAGGGTGTGTGGCTACATACATGTGAGTGTGCAGGCTGCAGGGGAGAGAAATGAAGGCTTCGCATAGCTTTCACACTACAAAGGGGGAGGTGCAGAACTGGTTTCTATTCCTCTAAAGAAGTAAGGAGGAATTAGCTTGGGAATAAGAAGGATTTAAGAAGACTTTTCTGCTTATGAAGGTAGATAAATATTTGAACACATATCTTAAGAACATCGAAAAATCCCTGTCTTTGGAGAACAAGATTGACTCCTGTCAAATTGGAGATAGTTTACTTGCAGTTCTACTTAGGAGGCAGAGGACTAACCAGATAAGCTGTATCAAATATTTCAGTGCAGGGATGGGCAGGGGTGGGGTGTGGGGCCGAGGTGTCTTGTCATTCTTGTCATCAGCTAGACATCTTCTTGTCTTGATTCTAGCAATGTTTAGGAGGAGGGTAGCTTCTGAGAGGACTGTACAACCTGTCTTTCTGGACCTGGGTTAAAGGCAGGAGTTGTTCTTATCTCCTAAAAGGGTTTAGACCTTCTGGGGAAGCCCAAGGGGTTACACTGCTCTGGAGGGTCTTTGTGTAAGAGATCAAACCCTTGGCAGGTATGGAGATTACAAAGGACACCATGGGATCTGGCTTCCCAGGGAACTCCACCCTGCAGCCTAGCTCCTCTCCTAATGGACCAACCAAGCAGCCTGGATTTTAGCAGAAGGATAAGGGTGGTCCCTTGTCTGAGACACTTTAGCAGCATCAGCAGGAAAAAGGCAGCTGTCTGTGTGCAAGAGGTGCCAAAACAGCAGTGGCCAACACTCATATGGTCCCCCTCCCCCTACATTAGCCTGTCTGAGGGCAGAAACAGCAACTCTTCATGCATTCCCATGCCCACCTTCCTCCCCCTGCCCCCTCCAACTCTGGCTCTAGTTGGAATGCAAAGACAAAGAAGGCCCCAGTAACTGGACACCCCAGCCCACTCTCAGTGACTGATGAGATGGGGGTGCTGGGTCCCCAGCACTGTGCTGAGGATGTCTCACTGCTTCTCTCGTGCAATCTGTGTGAGCACAACCTCCTGAGCAAGGATTACATAGTGGTCTGGGGTAGGTAATTCTGCCGAGCACTCAGGGCTGCAGTTAGAAAGTTGGTGGAAAGGAGTTGCAGGCTCAGGCAGCCCACCTCCAGGTCTGCCAGACGGCCTGAACAAGTACAAGGAATATACTCCCAAACAAACCTCAGCTTCACATTGCAACTGGCCTGGGTGGTAGAGATCTGTTCCAGCCTGCCAATGAGGGCACACTTGCCAAGGACATCACTTCTTGGGTCCCAGTTGTCTGCCCTGTGAGAGGCTACTGGGGTGGGTGAGGGATCCTTCCTGCCCCATCCCACAACATGACAGAAGAAAAGTGTCAGGACCTGGGAAATGGAAAGGCCTGGGTGGTCAATAACCTCAGCTAAGTGATGTGTGTTGGAAGGTGTGGGAGGGCAGGGGCCAAGTGACTCTAGAGGTGGAACCTCTGAAACATTCAGGTATTGACTTTAGAAGTTAGTTTTTGCCAGACTCGGTGGCTTAGCCTGTAATCTCAGCACTTTGGGAGGCCAAGGCGAGTGGATTGCCTGAGCCCGCGGGTTTGACACCAGCCTGGGCAACCTGGCGAGACTTTGTCTTTACAATTAAAAAAAAAATTAGCCAGGCGTGGTAGTGTGCGCCTGTAGTTCCAGCTACTTGGAAGGCTGAGGCGGAAGGATTGCCGGAGCCTAGAAGGTTGAGGCTGCGGTGGCTGGGAGCGTTCACTGCACTCCAGTCTGGGTGATAGAGTGAGACTCCAACTCAAAAAAAAAAAAAAAAAATTAGCTGGGCATGGTAGCGCGTGCCTGTAGTTCTGGCTATTTGGAAGGCTGAGGCAGAAGGATTGCTGGAGCCCAGCAGGTTGTCACTGGGGTGGTCATGAGTGTGCCACTGCACTCCAGCCTGGGCAACTGAGTGAGACTCCAACTCAAAAAAACAAAAAACAAAAAAGAAATCAATTTTTGATTAAAGATGTGAAATATACCAGTCCACTGAGATCACTGCTAGCAATTAAGCATTGAGATTTCCTAGAAATATGACTTTGCAGAACTTCTCTAGAATGCCTCTCTAACCTATTCCAGCTCACAGCAATCTTTTCCTCATCTCTGAGGTGTATTGTTTTATTTATTTATTTATTTTAGATATGGAATCTTGCTATGTTGCCCAGGCTGGAGTGCAGTGACTATTTATAAGTGTGATCACTGGGCTCAGTGGTTTAGCCTGTAATCCCGCTCTTTGGGAGGCTGAGGTGAGTGGATTACCTGAGCCCGCCGGTTTGAGACCCACCTGGACAACTTGGCAAGACCTCATCTCTACAATAAATTAAAAAACTAGCTGGGCATGGTAGCGCGCACCTGTAGTTCCAGCTACTTTGAAGGCTGAGGAGGAAGGATCGCCGGAGCCCAGCAGGTCGAGGCTGCAGTGGCCAGAAACATGCCACTGCACTCCAGTCTGGGCAACAGAGTGAGACTCTAACTCAAAAAAAAAAAAGTGTTATCATCGTGCATTATAGTTCAGAACTCCTGGGCTCAAGAATCCTCCTGCCTCAGCCTCCTGAGTGGCTGGGATTACTGGTATGTGGCATACATGTCCAGCTCCTTATCTTAATTTTTACTGCAATTGAATAATGACCACAGGATTTTTGTGACTTTTCCCCCCAGTTAGAAAATTCATCAAGAGCAGTGACTGTGAACAAACTTTCCTCCAAGCGACTTAAAAAGTGTGAGTTGCATCAAAAGAGGATCGGATTTAAAAAAAAATGTGGTACATATACACAATGGAATATTATGCAGCCAAAAAGAAGAACAAAATTATAAACTTCGCAGCATCCTGGATGGACTTAGAGTCTATAATACTGAGTGATCTTTCACAGGAACAAAGAACTGAGTATCACATGTTCTCACTCATAAGCGGACCTTGAACAACTATCATAATACTATAAGAAAAGGATTGACAGTAGCAGGAAACTGCGGGGGTAGGGGGGACCAGGAGGTGGGATTGGCATTAATGGGAATCTGCCTGGGGAAGGGGGCACACCTCATCAACAAGGATACCTGCATAATGAATATTTGTATGCCTGACCCTGAATTGTACCCCACAATTTTAAAATAAAAAATTTAAATGTTAAAAAAAAAGTGTGTGTTGGCAAGTCGAGGTAGAAGTAGACACAGACCTACTGTCATGAAGCCAGAATAATCTTCCTCCCAGCAGTGGGGAGAAGCCAGCACAGTATGTGGTACTGGAAAGAGGAGGAATCGGGAGCCCTCACTCCACTCAGGTCCTGCTTCCCTGCATAAGTAACTTGCCTTCTCTCTGTTTCCTTATCTGTTCTAGGAACATGCTACCAATGACCCAGCCTATCTCATGGATTTGTCACGAGGCCCAAATCAGATAATATAGGTGAAAGTGCTTTGTGCCAGTGAAAATTACTGTGCCTCCAATTGTATGCAAAATCTATTCATACAAAACACACTTGTAGGAAATTGAAAGAAAAGAAATGGGAAGAAAAAAAAAAGGCAGAGAGGGAAGGAAGGAGAATCAGAGATACGCAGACCACCAAAGAGGCTAAAAGAGACTGTCCTGAGAGCAAGGTGTAGATGACACTTACATAAGCAGATGGCAGCCAGCACCCGAAGGCCAGAATCTGGGGGGAAGCAGGTGGGAAAGAGCGGCTGCAACACGTAGTTGGAGAAGGTGAGTGCGATGACGGCCTGGTTGGTGGGGTAGATCACCAGCACAGCAATCCACAGCCTCAGGAACCTGAAGGAGGAACAGGACACCCCCACCGACAGGCACGGCGGG